TTTTTTTTTTTTTTTTACTGGATCTTGTTAAAAAGGGCAAATATCTGTTGCTTCATATTGGTTTGTTTCAGTTCATTTTTTTCCGTTTCTTTTTTTTTTTTGCTTTGCTTTCAGTTTTTTTCTATTGGTTGGTGTTGTCGTCGAAATAGACAAAAAAAAAAAGTAGAGGAAAGAAGAAAAATAATCAAAAAAACATTGTGTTCCATTAAAAAAAAGAAATTTTTCCCTTTTCCTTTTGTTTTCTTTTTTTTTTATTTTTTCTTTCGTCTTTTTTTTTTTCCAACAACGCCTAACGTGGTAAAGCCTTCAACATTGCCGTTACTTCTTCAGCAACACATATAAACACCAATTTATACTGCTCAATGGAATCCACCATTCCGCGCCGTTGATCTCTGATATGCTCCAATGATCCAGCGATATTCAGCTCTTTCAGACCTTCAATTTAAGCTTTTTCAGTTAATTTGTTCATCGACTTGTTATCGCATCAATTATTGCACAACACACACATATACCAAAATTATAATATCATCTCGTCACAACAACACTGTAGCACAAAATTTTTTTTGCTTTATTTTACGACAAAACAAAATTGACACCGTTTTTTGTTGTTGTCATTGTGTTGTTTTAGCTATTAACAGCTGACAAATGAAAACACATAAATCATATTAACAACTGATTTTTGGCTTTTTAAATTTAAGTGAAAAAAAAAACCTTTGGTGATTCTGTTAAGTACAATGTCCAATAAGCAGTAGGCTCCAGTTCTTCCGATACCATCCGTACAGTGTACAATAATTGGTGCCGCTTTTCCTCGATACGATTTGTTCACTTTCCTAAATTCTTCGATGATTTTTAATTTTTGTGGTATATCATTTGGGAATAGTACAAAAAAAAAAAAGATCAGAAAGAAAGGAAAAGGAAAGATCTTTTTTTGTGTGTGTTATTGGAGTGGAAATAGCGAAGAGAAGAAAGGAAGGGTTGGTTTCTTTCACTTTTCTTTTTGCTTGTTTTAATTCATTAGACACCTAACAAATTCCACCAAAAAAAAACATTTATTTATCAGAGAAGGTTATAAAATTTTGTTAAATGCAAAAAAAAGTGGCAGAAAAATGGGAAAAAATGTAAACGAAAAAAAAATGTCAAGGAAGATATTTGAAGGCTATTTTTCTGCTATTTTTTTCCCCATTCTTTTTCCTCTTTCCTTTTTCTCCTTTTTTTGCATGAATTGTTTCTTTCGTTTTCCTTTTCCTTTCACTTTTACTTTTTGTTTTTTGCTTTTTACAAATTAAAGGTAAGGATGGAGATAAAGTGAAAATTAGGAAGCCGTAGGATCATTTGGTGGCACATCGCATCCATCACTTTTGTGACTATGCAATTAATCCAATAGCTAAATTGCTCATCCACAAAAATGATGCACAAAATGCACTGATTATCCTACAGCCATTTGTTACCAATG